ACAACTTGCCTGATTCACTTATAAACTTTTTAAAATGTTTTTTTCCTCCATAAGAGCTTTCTATCTAACATTCACACAAATTCAGTGGGTGCACCAGAGTGCAACTTGGATCCAGTCTCCTTGCCCGAGGATATTTGGCATGGAGACTGAAGCAGCCGAGTATTCAACCACCAACTTTAGCTGATGACCCACTCTGCAGCCACCCCAAACAAGGGATGGACTTGGTTATGGGCACATGTGTTATTGACTGTAATGAATTTGCTACATCCTTAATCATACTCTGCTTTATTGTTTATTGTACCCTCAGTGAGACCATAATGTGCTTCGTGCTGTACCAACAAACCAAAAGCTCAATGGGAAAATGTTTACTAAGGTGAGCATTAACCTCACATTTATTGACTTCTCTAAGTTTGAATTTATTTTGCGAGCAGACCAGTCTGCACCGCACCCACCCCAGAGCACCAACTTCCATTATAAAGAAACTGGTTTTTAGGAACTGCGCTATCGATTTCACTTTATAGACCCAGAACTACATCCAACACAGTCTATGAGAATAAAAGGAAAACATCATTTGCATGATAGACCACTCAGTGCAGGTTTACATACCTCCATACAGATGCGTAGCCTCAATTGGTAGACACTACACTGTGCAGGGAGGGTGACTGATATCGGCTCGCAGCCCATGCTGATATCTTGATCCTCATCACCAGGCTTAAACTCACAAATAAACTTCAGGGTATTCTCAAAGCAGCCTTGGGTAGACAGTCTCCTTACACTGTGTATAGAGTGTGGACGGGTTGGCCGATTCACAGCAGCATCCATTGGGACTTTAAAGAGAGCCAAGCTTTAACAAAACTCTGATTTAAAAAGAAAAACTCATACAAAGGCTAGTGCTGATTAGTTTGGGTCCTCTGGTGGAGTGCACGCAACTCTGCTTATCTGACAATGTGACAGTGTGTGTTCCCTTTTTGTGACTGCTCGGAGACTTCCTCATTCTTTTGTGCTTCAGTTCTCAAACACCAGTGATGTTATTATTAACAGCAGAACATTTACTGACAATGTAACATAGGTAACTTCCTTATTCTCTTTTGTACTTCAGTAACAAATTATAATAGCTATTCTGACATTTTCACAACTAAGTATGGACAACATGCTACAGTAAACACTCCTGGACTAATACTGTTTAAGAGGGAAATGTCAACTTCTGCAATTTAATCACAAATTAAACAGGTCAAAACAGTACAGTAATACAGTAATACACCAAACCTGTTTGGGTTGTTTGGCTTTCTGTTCTGTGTAGTCCAGAGGAATGTGTTGGTCTACTGGTTAAAATAGCTGAAAGGTGTCAGTCAGTATTTTTAAATGTTGTTTACTTTACTTTTACTCATATCATTTACTGAACTACACTCCATCAAACCATGCTATTGTTTTGTGTGCAGCACAGAGCAAATTCAAAGCCTTTGTAGATACAAATCAGTAAAAAAAAATGAAATTGGTAAGAGTTTCCTGAAAAGTGTCTGATAGTTGTTTGGTTATTATTGTTATTGTTGTGGAGGCTAATATTAAAAACTGAGAATAAGAATAGGATGAAGACATAGTACAGTATTTTTTTTCAGGAAAAATAATCACCTTAACAAAATGAAACTAAAAACAAGTTTCCAATAATTTATAGACACAGTTACAAGATCCTATTTCTGCCTGAAGGGCCAAAGTTTTCCCCTGCTTTTTATGTTAGCTTTTCATTAGGAATCCATTCAGTTACAAACATGACTCAAGAAGGGGGAGGGTGTAGAGGCTGGACTGGAACTGGGCCACAGACTGCCAAGCAGCTGAAGTCATTTTCCCGCCAGGAGGAAGAAAAAGACAGGTTCAACAACTAGTGTGAAACGCATGGGTGTCATATGATTAACTTGTACCTTCAGTTCAGTACTTCCCTTATGGAGGGTTTGAACACTGCTTAATGAACCACTAAAAGTAGTTTCATGGGAGAAAGAACATCTCAGAGAGGGGTTGATTTGGAGCTGAATAATGAACATTTAGTTATCATGTGTTATTGGACACTCCAAGAAGAAGGAAAATGACTTTATTTTATTCTCAGTGCTTTATTACAGAAATGCTGTGACAATCAAATTAGTTTGCCCTTTTAGGGAATTTAGCACATCTAAAAGTACTTTCAGCTACTCCGTTATTTTTTAAGGGACTGCACCAACAAATGTATCCCTATTTTGATTTCCACTCCATTCCCACCCCGACACAATCTTGTCATGTATCTGGGGGTACACTAACTAACTTGTGTCGCTTTCTGATCTCAAACTGTGGTTCGTTTACATGCAAGGTAAACATGTTAACCTGCACACCATGAGACCACAGCAAGTTTGGCTGACCTACTAGTGTAAAATCTGCTTAAATATCGAGCCAGAATTATGCCAGAAGCTTGTTGATGGCTAACAAAAGCATCCGGTTGAGGTGCAACTCACTAAGAATCATCACAACTGTATGCATGTATACAATCTGTTCAACATTATACTTATGTAACAAAATTACATGAAACATTTGCATACAATCAAATAACTTAAACAGTCAGCCATCTTTAAAAGCTAAACTTGCATGAATTGAGGTAAATGTACTAATTTAAGTAATTCCTTCTTTTGTCCGTGATCTCTGTATAAAACCTATAAAATGTGAGCATACAGATATGTTAATTTCACATGCTTGTCGTGCAGATACAAGACGACCATTGATCAGCTGTTTTCAACCATTTTAATAATTTCCTTTTAAAGATGACACACATCTGTAACAAATGAATTCACAGTATCTTCACAATAGTGCTTTAACACAATCCAAACAGAAATCTAATCATATAATTACCTGCTAATTTTACAAAGCAGATTTTCTTTGTATGGTTATAGTTTATTTTTATTTAAGGGTTTTAAGAATGCAGGTTTTACTGATCTTGTTGTCTGATGTGACGCTTTGTTTGCCATCAGGTCTTCGTGTCATCATAATGTGTTTTGTAATTCCTGATTACAGTGTGAAAATACTTTTTGCAGTTTTATATACTAGGGAGTAGGTATGAGAACACCTTGCAGTGCTTTGATTAATCTGACTGCCAAATAAGTTACAGTTTTGACCTGCAGGAGGTCCTAAATAGTTCAAGCAATAATAGACACTGTCCCAATGCCTCTGTATGGAGGCTAAAGCTGGAAAATCATAACAAGAACACAGTGATGATAGAATAACGTCAATTATGCTCAATCAATTATGCTTGCTCATTTGAGGATTAATATTTCACTTTTAAATATCAACAATCAGTATTTAACAATTATGATTGAAAAATCTTCAACAACAGCTGAACTGGCTAAAGGATTGATTAAAAAAACACATTTGGATGTGACTGATTTACAATGTAGCAACAATTCATGTACGTAACAGCACATTTTATAAGCAAGACGACATTTTTAAAGGTTATCACCGACATTTTTTAAAATTAAGAAACAGCAATGTTAATGACATCCCTTTTTTTAACTTTAGCTGTCTGTTGTTGAGTTCCTTTGCATTCGTATGGTCTCAGTGTATTTTTGCCATAAAGACACAACACTTCCTGAAAATAAGCTGACACAGTTCCCTAACTTATCAAGACACATTTGAAATGGTACAACACATAAAAACTAGCCATGCTACAACACATGTAATCGCAGTGTAATAAAAAACTAATGTGCTGTTGTTGGTTAAACAGGGAGGATAGGTGGCAAAACGACCCTTCAACCAAACACAGTCAACATTTATGTTTTTGTTTGCAAAAAATGAGTTCTTCCACATACAATCAAAAGATATTTAGAGCCAAAATGCTGACTTTAAGTCATTTGATTACATGTAAGGTTTTGGAATGCAATCTTGAAAACTTTTCATGTAAACCTTGGAAAAATTAAAGCTCATTAGTAAACTCATTGTTAGCTGCCACTAAATCCTACAGTTTGTAATAAAATGTTTTTAATAAATTTAGCGTCACATCTTTTTTAGTCATGATTCATATTTTTGATTCTGACTTCAGTAACAACCCCAGATTACAAGACATCTTACACAGTTAGCTAAACTAAGCTAAAAAATAAAAATATTTTAAATAAGCAAAGGGAAATCTTACTGAATTCAAACAAAGGGAAATAAAGGCAGACTGGACATGAAGCCAGACATTCAGTATAAAACTGGTGTGCAAAATGTAAAGTTTCTCTGAAACAGTGGGCAACAGGCTTTGGGGAACTTACTTATATGTTTGCAGTGTCACAGGTTCTACCCAGTCAACATTAAAGTATATGCAAACTTTTAAAAAGGCATGTACACAATTAACAAGCTGCCAGAGGTGCAATGTTTGCATAAAACAACAGTTATATAAACATTTAGCACATTTTGTCAGGGCTGAACTTGGCTCAAGGAAGCTGAATGTTCACAGTCCCACCAACACAATCCTGCTGGAAGATTTCCTGCAACATTCTGGGGGGGGGGGGAAGTGATTACAGCTGGTTTTATCTTTTTTTTTCTTTTTAAAAAAAAATTCACCTGTCATTCATTGCTTTAGCTTCTGCATATATAACAATTAAATAATGAAATTGTATAATGCAGTTATTCATGACTCATTAGGGCAGACCTTCCCAAAGTGGCCCGGAGCCATTGCAGAGGGGACGCGGTATGAAAAGGGAGGGAAACAAAATGCTTGGACACTGCTAGCACGGGGCACCCACAAAAACGCAAAGCAGGAGATGAAGCATCGCTGAATATGTTTCCAAACCAACTTCATTCTAAGCCAAAGACTAGAAAATATGATGAAGCATATCTTCCCTTTGGTTTCACCTGCACAAGTGCCGAGGTAGGTCTCCCCTGCAGAATTGGTTTTCCCTGTGTCGGGAGCAGCGCTGGGCTCTTCAAATCACAGACAAACAGTATCCCACAGTTGTCTTTTTAAACCCATTTTGCACAGAGAGGCATTTTTTGAAAAATGCATTGATAGCAATGTTGAATATTATTAAACATGAAAAAAAAAACAACTACAGTAAAATAATCACACCGTGACGCTTATGCCTTTCTAAATGGAGGGACAGTAACTGCGTGTGTATATGTAAGCATGTAAAACCTGAAGATATTCAGATTAACAGTAACAGTATATATACATTCGTCTCCATCTGCCGTTCTGCAATTCATCTCATGTAAACGTGGCGCACCGCGTGACGTGAAAAAAGGCACATACCTTTGACGTTGGGTGACAAACTCTGTATTCCCCGTCCACACATAAACTGGAAAAAAAAAAAAAAAAAACAGTTTTAAAAACTCTCCGTTTTCGGTGATAGGAAACGCCACGTTTACGTGTGGACGAAACAGCTCAAAAATACCCGTGTAGGTGTGGACGTAGCGTAAAAGAGTTAGTAGTTTATTTTATTACTACCTGTAATTTATTGCAGATTACTTGTATTTGCTTAATTGTTTACTAAATGCTTGAGGTGTGAAAGAAACTGCAATGGAGCAAAATATGGGTGTGTGTGGTTGGAGGATGTGTGTGCACGTGCGAGAAGGGGGGGCGCGAACATTTTTCTTGTAAAACAAAGGGGGCCTAGCAAAAAAAGATTGGGAACCACTGATCTAGAAGAACAGAACAAAACTGTAAAATGCACAGTAAAATACTTTTATATTAGGATTTTTTCCTACAGTGCAGCCATACCCGCGACCTTGTGGTTGTTAGTTCACATTAATTGGCCGATGCTTAGCGTCATGTTATTATGTGTCCCAACATCCAATGGCATGTCACATTGTTTTCATGGCCACACCCTCACCCCAGGTGCAGAGGCCTATTTCTGTTCAGGAATGTTGTGAATACTTTGAGATTTATATTAATTGCAATTCCTACCTCTACATTTATTTTTTGAAATATATAACTAGCACAGCATGGCCGTGCAATGTTTTAGATGTTTGTTTTTTTTTGTTTTTATTCCTATTAATTATATTTTCACTTGTTACCTCTGAATTATTGAATCAGACCTAAATGACATGAAATTTTCAGCAAAATTATAATTCAAATTTGAATTTAACAGATCATTCTCTCACATAACAGACAAATATTTGTGAAATTATGATACATTTATGAATGTGTTTTTACAATCTAAATATGCATATGTACAAATAATATATTTAAAAAACAAGTCAATTGTGTTTTACTATATTTACAGTGATGTTATGTTATTTTACCTTTGACATGTAAAATCACAGTCTACTTATGTGAATTTAATGATATTCTAGAAATACAGTACAAAACTGTAATATGCAGTAAGATACTTTGACATTACTATTTTTTGAACAGTGTACTTAAAAGCCTTCCTTCCTACTAAAGACCTTCCCCATGCCATCCACGCTATGCCCAAGTAACTAAGTAACAGATTAACAATAACAGATAAAACACAAACGTTCCTGTTATTTTTTCATCATCTACTGTCACTTTCTTTTCTTTTTTTTCTTTTTTCTTTTTTTTACAAAGAGTCAATGGAGGAAAAAATAATCTTTTTTTAATTATTATGATTTAATTTAAAAAAAAAAAAACTCCTGTTATTGTTATTACTACTAGAACTTTTCTGTAATTTTCTACACCCATTTTATCTTGCTGACAGATTTCTTTGATTTGCTGCAGCAACATTTCTTATCATGTAGAAAAGACGCTTCTTTTTTATATTAATTGGGATTAAAGGTGTATTTAAACATCTTTACACTGACAGAAAGGGGAGCTTCTCTTGTTAGGCCCAATTTAGAACAAACTGGGCTGTAAAATGAATTGGACATCTCTGCTTTAGAGTCTTAAAAGTAAGATAAATAGCAGAAAGAAAGTTTAGTTTGCTCCTGGTGCTATCCAGTTTGTCATCAGTAGTTCAGTTTAGCTGTGTCTCTTAAATCGGTTTATCCCGCCTGAGCTCCATTTCGACGCGCCACGTGTTCCAGTCTTATTCTCTCTGCCGCGCGCTCGTTAGCCCTTCTCTCTGTCCACGACCGCAACCTGCTGGTCAGCGCCTGCCTCATCTCCACACTCCACAGTCCATACACCAGCGGGTTAATGCACGGTGGCACTATGAGCATAACCAGCAGCGATATATGAAGCGCGGTCGCCGTGGCCGTGGGGGTGGTCTTCACTTTGCAGAGGCCGGGAGACTGAGAGGACTGTACCATCATCGCCACCGGTGCCCTAAACTCCCACAGCGCGTCCGACGCGACTTTGAGGAGCAACGGCAGCAGCTGCAGGAACAGCATCCCGCAGTAAAACAACACAGTGTTGCGCGCTGTGACGTTAACCGCGTTGAAAGGTATCACTGCGTTGCGCGCGACCTGGTACATTCTAAAGAAGGAAAACGCGTGTATCAGCAGACACAGCAGCAGGGTGAGGGAGCCCACGGTTTTGCGAAAAACTGCAGAGGCACGGGGGAACCCCAGGTGCTGTTCCACAACATCTGGCTCGCACAGAAGTCCCGTGGTGGCCGTTTCATCATCCTCTCCTCTCCCGGTGTGCAGCATCACAATTTCAGAGACGCCGATGAAAACCGAGTACAACCAGATGCCCCCCAGGACACCCCGCAGGCGGATCTTAGTGAAAATTGGCAAATACCGGATGGCATGACAGACGTATATGTATCGCTCCAACGCCATGCAAGTTATAGTAACAAGACTACAGAAGATAGAGACTCCACCCAAAAAGTACTGAACGTAACACCATCCGTTGAACGCCATCGTGCGACGCTGGATTAGTGAGTGGATGACCGCTGGGCCAAAGGTCGCAGTCTGCACCAGGTCGCTGAAAATCAGGTTCTTGAGCAGGATAAAGCGCGGCTGCCAGGAAAACTCCTCCGACTGTCCGAGGCCGAACAGAGTAAACGCGTTCACAAAGCACGACAAGGCGGTCAGCAAGACAAACAAGCAAATCAGCACTGAAACCGCCTGTCCTTCAGGTAGTATAGACAGAAACAGGCAGTTGGCATTGTTCAGCTGTCCAGTCGCGTGTGGGTTAGTTTGGTTCTCCTGACTGAAGCTGTCGCGCTCCTCGGTGAGGTTGTGCGCCCCCGTCTCCAGCACAGCTGTCATTTTAATCTGTGGAAGCATCAACAGCCTGTGATGTCTCCGTCCTCCCCCACAGCCTAATGCCATTCACAGGTCTGCATCCTTCAGCATTTTTCCACACCTGTACGATCTGACCTGGCAACACGCGCGCATACACACGCCCACAGTTCTCTGTGACCATCTGTTGGACGTCACACTATAGGGGCGGGCTAGCCATCGGTGGGCACATTTGACATGATGACCTTAGGGTGGTTTCTTGAACTTGAACAGCAAACAATTCACAGACCACGTAAAATCCACGCATCAGGATTCTCAGCACAGATTCTGGACTCGGTCTGTAGTCTCCATGGCGCACAGGTGCGCACACCAAGGATTCACATGAATGCCTCTGGAGTGGCTTTCTCTCGTGCTCGCTCTCGTATGCCGGCAGTATGAAGCAGGGAAAGTTGTAAAAGTGGATCAGATAAAAAGGAAAGCTGGAGGGGGTGGAGAGTGTAAAAGAAAGAAAAAGTTGCTGAAAAAAAAAAGAATTCACCCACTAAAACACGATCACAGTGTTTGACGTGGTTGTAGCGCGTCAAAGCAGTGTCCCTGAATGTCCTTGTGGAGTTTTTGGAAACCTTATTGTGCTTCTGAATTTCTCTTGATTAAACAATAAAAAGCCAATTATAAATAAAAATGTAGTTTGCTTTTCTTTTGTTTAGTTGCACCTTTTGTATTGTGGTTTTCAGCTGTCACTATTGTTACCAATACAACACCCCGGTTCGCCTGTGAGAAGATTTGCGACACCCAGGCGCTTCGGAACATATTATGTGAGTGCATTTTACGCGAACTTGTTGAACTTATCAAAGTACCTCAACTTTCGAAATTAACTTTTTACATATAGGCACACACTGCCCCCTAGTGCTCGAGACTGGTAACTGCAGCCCAGAGGCCAGTTTGACAAGCTATTTTTAAATATGAAAGCTTATTGAAATTTGCAGAATATTGTAAATTCACATATAGCTTTGTGTGATTGTGTAATAAATATGATATATAATTGTATTACTAAAATTAGGAAAGAATAATAACTACAACAGGAGGCAATACATGACTATTTCAGGACAACCTACTATCTTATAAGATTAAAAAAGCATGCACATTATCAGTGTCAAGTACACTCATGTGGATTACATAAATACAGACATCCTTCCAAGGGCACAAATCCCTTCACTAGATGTATTACATTGTTGAAGGCCTTGTGTTTTTGTGTGTTTTGAATACATGTTCAAGTAGCTACTCCAAATCACTACAGTATGTACTCTGGGTATCTAGTTCTTTTTTTAAACTATTTTTCCTCTTCCTTGTTTTCCAATAAGTACATGTACTGTATAGAGCAAGAATTAGTCTTATTTGTGTTTCTAAAACAATAAACAGGGCTCACTCCAGCTTTGCTTTGATTACTAAAAAGCTTAGAGAGGTCAGAGGTTCACCAATCTGCAAAAAAAACTGTGCCCAGAGCTGTGAGCTGTTTTAATACACTTCAAGCTGTTTCTGGATTGTGTTCACATATGGCTTTGTCTTTGCATGACATCTTCATTGACCTGCATTTGTAGATAGCGTACTGAACTGTGTTCACAGACAGATTTCTGCAAGTGTTTCTGAGTCCATGCAAGGATTTGCATGACACAGTCATTCTTGTTTTTAATACAGTCCTACCTGAAGATCATGGGCTTGCAATATTGATTTAGACCTTGTCCCTGGTGCACAGAAACTGCTCCACATTCTGTGAATCATTTGATGATATTATGTACTGTAGGTGATGAGATGTTCAAAGTTTTCCCTTACGGCTGATCTTAAGCTCTTGGTTTGGAGGATATGATGGATGGTAGGGCGCCAAGTTTCAGTTTAAGGAGAGATTCTGTTTGAGACCCATGAGGATTTCACAGAGCTGACTTGTACAAAAGGTGAACTCAAAAAAGCAGCAAAGAAGTGGATCAGGCTTGTTGTGGCACTACATGTGCATGCTCATTTGGAAAGAAGAGGTTGTCTGAGTAACAGGTGTGCTCTCTTTTACATATTCCTTGAGCAAAGCCTGAGCAGTTTTTGTGGTGTGGTTGTGCCAACTGCTGTGTTGTGCCATCAGGGAGTGCTTTAGGAGTAAATGTGCACCTTTGGTCTTTGTCACACCTGACAAAGTCTTTAATGTTGTGGCAGATCAGTATTCAGTATAAGGTGGTCTGGCTGCATTATTTAGCATCAGCTGGAGGCAGCTATGACATGATGTTGTTCTCTACAAGAAGTACAAAATCTCTTTTATCTTGTTGTCATTTTAAAAACTTCTCAAAGGTCTGGACAAAACCCCAGCAGCCACCGAGTGCTGTGATTGTAGCTTTATTGCTCTATCGTGAGCAAACCTTATGTGTAGCTGGAATCTGACACTCACACGTCACAACTGTTTGCTGCATGTTTGCTTTGGAAGATTTTTACAGCAGAAAGCGATTTGTTTCTCCTCCTGGGATTGAAACAGCACGCAATTACATGATGGAGTCTCCCAGCAGATTTTTAGTTTAATAAGTCTGCATGAACTGTACAGCTAGTTTACTGAAACATTTACTTGAGCTAAAGACTGGAGAGCAGTCTTTAGCTCGAGGAGGGAAAAGGAGCAGAAAGAAGGGTAGCAAAAGAAGGAGTGAAGGATCAAGATGGTGGAGGCTAAACGTGGATGAGTGATGGCATACCTCAAGCCTTATTTAGGGTGTGTTTGTCCAGAGGACTCAGCTGCTCCGTGGAGAATGTCCAGGAATAGAAGGAGTTATAGAAGAAGAGATCATGGAAAGAGAAAGAAAAGAAGACAGAACGAGAAAAAGAGCTGATAACACCACAGCTTTTTTGTTTCTCTTGGTCTGTTATTGAACCAAAGTCTTCAAACTGAGCCACGCTTTTTTTTTTTCTCACCCAAGCAAGGGAAGTTTGCTTCTGGGAAGTCAGCCTCAGCTGGTGCTGTCAGTCAGGCACCAAACAGGCACTCCAATAACACTGGTGACATAAGCTGGACAGCATGGAAGCTGAACTTGCACTATGGCCCTCTGGGGGAGACAAGGGGTGATGACTTAGAGGAGTGAGAAGAGCTTAAGATGGAAACAGGAGGTGGTGAGGATCATAACATGGAGAACAGTAGGAGGGTGATAAAGTGTTATCCACAGGATTGGGATTAAGAAGAAAAGGTGCACAGTGTGATCAGCGCAGCTGGATTTTTTTTTTCCTGACTGTATTCAGGCAGGTTTTTATCCAAGGCTATGTATGCAGCAGCTTGCACCTTTGACATGCACGTGCACAGCATTGTTTGAAGTGAATGGCAATTTTAGCATGCTAATATACTCAAAATCCTTTTTCTATGATTTTTAAATGCCATAATCAGTCAGACTGGAGAAATCTGACACATTAAACCTGTGTGTTTGAAGTAAAAAAATGACTCTTTTTTTTATTTTTCATTTTTTATGTTGTGTAAACACATGATTGAGGCAGCCAGGATAATGCTGCCTCCACACCACAGTGGTGAAGCTGTGGAGACAGTGGCACACTTTTCATAAACCTGTTGCTGAATATCAGCCACCCAGGTTCTCCTCGAGATTAGTGTCACTATCCCTACACTCAGCTGCATGTGGAATCCTCTTTCCGCATGAAATGTAGCTGTAATTCAAATAAATCCATGGAACTGAACAAACTGTAGAGATGTAGAGCTTCATATTTGCTGTAAAAACTGTGAAATTGGAGAAAAATGGATGCTATATGGACTCTTTTCTTTGTATTCCAATAAAACTGACTGTTGGTAGGTTTTCTATGCATTCAGCATATCCATTATAGCATTACAGAGAACTGAGCTAGTCCGCCATTAAGGTTTCTAGAAGATATGACTCTTCTTCTTTAGACAAATGACTCTTCATCTTTGGGACGGAGGCCACTGTGGAGGATGGATGCTTTTTGTTTTGTTTTTATATAGAAAAGGGGAATATGCAAGTATACCTTCAAATAAAATAGGATACATTTTTAAATGACACAAGCGGCTTCAACCTGTGTAACTTGTGTGTTGATGTGCTTATTTTTTTTTAGATATATAAGAATGTCTCAGCATTAGTTGTGTGTCCCACATCATTTCATACAAACACTTCCTTTGCCCAGCGTTTAGTTCGTTGGATGCGGTCACCCTACGAGCAGACTCAAACTAGCATTAATTTGCTATAATCAAGAGTCTGAATGAATCTTTTGAGGTAAGATGTTTAACTTGAAACAGTGAAGTAGTAACTGCACATATATGCAAATAAAAAATCTTAACATAGGCTAATTCATTGCTGAAGTCTTAAATTGAACATTTTCTCTGTTGCCTTTCAAGTGTTTTGAATCGTATTGATCATGACGAGTACCTGGATTTTAAATTCATGAGAAAAGTGTTTAATGATGGTACAGATCAACAGTGCTGAAAGGCTAAAAGTAGATGTGAGTTTAATGAATTTACACATTGGTCATATTTTTAGTTTTAATTATTATATTATTATTATTATTATATCTAATTATTATTACTTTGTATCAAATAATTGAATACTTTATCTCCAGATAAGAAATGTTGATCAGCAACTACAGCTGCTCTTGTTTCCACGCTAATCACATGGTTCTCTCCGTTCTTTCAGGCATAAATAGATTGCATGTGAAAAAAGTGACAGTGCCTTACTGCCCATTGGACCGACTAATCTGTTTCCAACAGCTGACTTAATGGTCTGAAGTGGAACGGAAACATGTGGATGTGCTTTTATATTGCACTGTATCTATCAGACAAGTAAGATTTTTGTCTGCCTGTGTGTTTGTGTGTAGACAGGTAGCCTAGTAAAGAACGAGGGAGCAGAGAAAAACTAAAATCACAAAAAGTAAGTACAAAACAAAAGCAATAAAAGTGTTCGTGTGATTATTCAGAAATAAAAGAAATGACCGTCATTCCCTCTTAGGCTGGAACTCCATGGAAGATCTTGCCTCACAGAGTTAGGATGATTAGGGGAAATGTGATAGATTAGCTCAAAAGTATACTGCAGAAGCTTGTTTATGATCTGAAGACAGTACGAACCACAGTCACCAAAAACGCCATTTGTAACACACTATGCTGTAATGGACTGAAATCTTGCATCATTTGTTCAAGAAAGCAAAGCTAGAGGCCATGTGACATAGGAAGAGGGCCATGTGACACATCAAACTTATTGGTAATGTCACAAGAAAAACAATGGTGTGCTTGGTTTCAACGTAACTTTATTCTTTCATGAGTTATTTACAAGTTTCTCTGTGTTCACAGCCATTGACATGTCGAAGAGGTTGACATGTGAGGAGCCGATCGAAATTGTGTTGATATCTGGTGAACGCAGTAACCGGGTCATTGCAGCAGATTTCAATGCAAGACTCCCTACGAGACCACCCATCTCCCATGCTACAG